CGCCCGCCCCCCCTCACTTGTCCCGCACGGCCTGGATGGCCTCGGCGGCGCTCTCGTAGTTGTGCTTCTCCATATGTCGGTACATGGTGCTCAGCTCCACCTGCCGCCGGAAGTAGATGTCCACCGAGCTCTGCTTCACCGTCGCGTAGATGAACTTGTCGGAGGGATTCCTCAGCTGCAGGGCCAGAGGACAGGGCTCGCGGCTGCTCCCGGGGCCCACCCCAGGCAGAGTTCCGCTGACCTCACGCTTCCCGCCCCCAGCCGGCCAGGCCTCACCCGTGGGTCGTTGATGCCCGTGATGCGCTCCTCCGGCCGGTCCAGCACCAGGAAGGCCGCCAGGTTGGCGGTGTAGGAGGCCACGATGATCATGGCGAAGCCGGCCCACACCATGCCCAGGATGCGCGCTGAGAAGCTTCGGGGGGCGCCTGCGGGCAGAGGACGGTCAGCTCCCGGCAGGCGGGAAGGGGCGGAGCGGGATGCGGCCGGGCGCGGCCTCACCTTCCCCGATACCCGAGTTGAGCAGGACGCCCCAGGAGAACCACATGGCCGAAGACAGGGTCAGCGCGTCTTCCTCCTCCTCTTCACTGTTCACCTTGAACCGGCCGAAGGGGCTGCGGGGCGCAGAGGGCGGGCGGGAGAGGGCGGGAGGGGCAGCCCTGCCCCGCCCCCTCGCCCGGCTCCGCCCGCCGCCACAGAGGGAGGTGTGCGGCCCCCGGGCCGCGCTCACCTGAAGCGGTCCAGCAGGTACAGCATCACGGCCACCACGTGCACCGACAACCCCACCAGCAGCCACAGCGTGCTCTGGAAGGGCTGCATGAACGAGTCCAGCGTGCTCCGGGGGATCTCCTGCAGGTGGACGGTTGTCAGCGCCACCCGAGCTCACCCAGGACCCCACCCCAGCCGCGCTGGGCCCTGCCCACCTTCTTGACCAGAATGGTCAGGCCCTGGTACTTGAAGGGCTTGGAGAACTCGATGTACTGTGCACGCTCGTTGTTGATGGTCAGCGGCGCCACGATCATGTCCGCCTGCCCGCTGAGCAGCTCGCCCATCATCCCATTCCACTCCTTCTTATTGCTGTTGTTCACCTGTGGGGCCATACAGCCAGTGGGCGCGCGAACGCTGTCAGCGCCACTCCAGCGACAGGCTCCTGCCCGAGCTCAGCTCTTGGGTCCACCCACTCCAGACCCCATCCCAGTCCGTAGGCCCCGCCCGCCCCGCCCACCCCGGCCCGGTCCTTCGCCAGACTGCTTCCACCCGGACCGGTCCCTCGTGGCACCCAGCAATTCACGCGTACCCGCTCTTGAGTGCCGAACTTGCCATCAGCCACCAGGTGCACCTCGTAGGTGAAGTTCATGGTGCGCGCCAGCTTGATGAGCAGATCGATGCAGAAGCCGTAGCAGCACTGAGGCACCGTGTGGCGAGCTAGGGACGCGGCGGGGGCCGTCACCGCCGAGCCCCCGGCCCCCCCGCGCCGCCCCGTGCCGCACCCCAGCCCCGCGCTCACGGCTGCCTGGCGACGTGTCGTTGGGTCCGGTGCAGATCACTTTCTTGACCGGGTCCCCATTGACAGTGAACTCCTCCTTGCATGTGCCATCGCTCAGCGTGGGCTTGACGTACACGAAAGGCTCCTGGTGGATCGTCACAATCTGCGGGGCAGGGGGAGGGAGAAGACTCAGCCTGGACCACCCACCCTAAGCCCCCAGACTCCCCTGGACGCCCTCCAAATCCCTGACGTCCCCCCACCTCCAGCCGCTGCCCCTCTGCTCAGCTCCACATCTTCCCTGGCCACCGTCAGCAACATCCACCTGTTGTCCCCTAGAGGGTCCCCAGACTACTCAGCGTTCAGAAGGCTCATGGCTTCCTGAAACACTGTCCCCTCCTCTTGGCCACTTGTCTTTGGGGTATTGGCTTATGCATTACTCCCTCCATCAGAGCCTGCTGGAATGTCCAGTCTGCCCCGCACCTTCTCTGATTTCTCAGGGATGAAAAACTCCCTGTCCCAGCCCAGAGCATGCATCCTGCCCCCCACTGCCTACCATGAGGACAGGGGTATGACTGGCATCCACCCCGAGTCTGTACAGGACCTGGGACCCACAGGGATCACCCTTATCTGATCACCTGGCCTCTCCTGGCCCTCAGCCTCCTCAGCAGTGGGCATTTGACCACCTAGCTTTGCTCCCTTCCTCTTTCCTCTGTGGTCACTGTCCTCTCTCTGGTAGCTTGCCTCTCAACCCAAGGCCCCCTTGAGGCTTATGCTGGGGTTCTCTCTTCTCCCTGTCTTTCATGGGCCCAGAGGCTGGGGGTGAGGAGGACACATATGGGACATGTGGGGCTGAACCAAATGCAACATACTGACGAGGGGCCCCAGAGGAGGTGATGTTGGAATTGGGCATGCAGAGTAGGCAGGGATCAGTTTGAGAGGGACCGTCTGGCACACTGGGGAGGGTGGGTCTGCAGGGGTGGGCTGGCCAGAGTCTCAGCTGCAAGGGCAGCATTTTGACTTTTCCCCCCTGGGGGATTGGGAGCACCTGAAGGAGCTTATTGCTTTGTAAACTTTCATCATGTTTTCTTTTAAAAAATAATGTTTTTCTATTATACAAGCAATATATGTTTGTGCCTTTAAAAAATCGGTGAGACCAAAAAACCTTGTACAAAGCCATCTGCAATCTGGCAGCCTGAATGGGACCATCTGGCCATCAGTGTTTGGGCTCCTACTTTCAGACTTTTAAATACGAGATATCGAACTGCTTTGGAAAAGCCCACGCTACCTGTTGTGAACGATGATGACTGTGAAGGAGGGATGAGCCCAAAGGAGCAAGGAAGGGAAATTTCGAGGGGAAAGGCCAGCTGAGGAGGGGCTCCCAGAGGCCCAGGGAGAGAGCCAAGGAGGGAACAGCCTGCTATGGGGAATGCCCCGGCGGTGGGGGGCAGGGCCAAAAGGACAGTGTGACTCAGTCATGGCAGGAGGCTGTGAAGACTGGGGGTGGGGGTGGGGGTGGTTAGGACTCCCCAGAGGACTGATGAGTGTGGAAGTGGCATCTCAAGAACCAGAACTCAGGGTGGAGAGTGCTCAGCTGAGGTCCACAGAATAACTACCTAGTGGTTCCTCTGTCCCCTATCAGCTCATCCCCAGGAGAGTCCTGTCCCACACGGCTTCTCTAGACTTTAGTGGAGTTGCATCAGGAGAGGCACTGGAGAGAGCCCATGGGATGGGGGGCCAGCAGCTTCTGCTCATCCCTCCACCTGCTCTCCCTGCTTCCTCTGTGGTGCCAAGTGTGGCCTACAGCAGCCAGGTGCCGGTCATTCCCCACTTCCTTCAGTCACTTTCATTGGCCTCACTGTCCCCCCACCCCGGGCCCGAGGAGCTGGATGGAGCGTCAGGGGTGTGGACGCTGGCACAGGGGGGCAGGACCCCTACCTTCAGCCTGGTGGACATCTGGTACCCTCGGGGTTTCTCTGTCTCTCCACCTGGCCAGATGATCTTCCTGTCATTGGGGATGACCTGGGGGTGGGAGTATGAGATGGAGGGTGGCCACGCAGGGGTCTTGGCCCCAGGACCCTAAGGCCCCAGCCCCCACCCCCTCATGACCCCCACCTACATGGGTGCCGTTGTAGATGCCCACTTGCACCAGCTTGCGGTTTTGCAGGTTCATGATGCTGTAGTTAGCAAACTTCCGATCCCCATCCTCATTGAACTCCACGCGGCCTGTCACCCCGTCTGCGTACTTGGAAGACATCAGCACTCTGGAGAAGGCAATGTGGGCAGACTTATCAGAGATGCTCCCTTTCCCTGGCCTTTTGAGCCCAAGCCCCTTCTTCTGCCTCAATCCCAAGAAGGAAAGATCAGCAGATGTCAGACCCTCGTGCTGGGCATCTGGTGGACGGTGTGCCGGTCTGCAAGCACCAGGCGGATAACACAGCTACGGTAGCCCAGTAACTCCTGAGCACCAGACCCCATTCGAGGGCTTTCTGTGGATTGGGACATTCCCTCCCAGCAGCCATCCTTGCTTCACAAAGGAGGAGGACTAAGTCCAGGTAGGATGCAGTAGCCTGTTCACCAGCAAGCGGGGGAGGTAGGGTTGAGGTCCTGTCTTGTGTGTGTGCACTCATGTGTATGTGTGCACACGGGCCGTATATGTGAGCACACGTGATCTTTGTGTGGATGCACCCCTATGCACGTACCCGTGGCACGTGTGTGTGTGCCACACGCCTCTCTGAGCCTGTGCGCACATGCTGCATAGATCTGCAGTTGCGTGTATACTCCTGTTGTGGGCACCGTAACTGTTCTGCACATGCTACTCAGTGTTTGCTATTTAGTGGGGTGGGTGGATCTGGTGATGGACTGAGTGGTATAGTGTCCAGGGTGCTGTGGCGTATGTCCTGCCCCCTTGTGGCCATCCACTTGGGCATCTGGCCAATCCTGGCTCTCTACAGGCTTGGTTTCCATCCTTGGGGTCTCCTTTGTCTGATCTGCTGGGTCCCTGGAAGCCCCCTCTCCCCAAATGCAGCAGGAGCCTCCTCCCAAGGGTTGTCAGCCACCCTGTGTAGGTGGGGTGGGTCTCAGGGCTGGCTGCAGTGTTAAAAGGTGGGGTCAGGAGCAGTGGAGGCAGCCATGACGTCACTGACATTTGAAGCGTTAATATCAGTGTTGGAAATGAGGTGGATGATTAGCACAGTGGAAATGCAGGTGGTGGTGGTGGGAGAGAGATGGGGGAAGAGGAGGGAAGTCGGGGAGATGACTGTATCTGCACCTGCTGAAGAGAACTACTCCCATCTCCTGAGAGGCCCCGCCCACCTCTAGAAGAGAACCTCTCCCACTTCTGGAAGATAGGCCCCGCCCACCTCTAGAAGAGAGCCCCTGTCCACTTGGAGAAGAGAACCCACCCACTTCTGGAAGATAGTCCCCGCCCACATCTAGAAGAAAGCCCCGCCCACTTCTGGAAGATAGTCCCTACCCACCTCTAGAAGAGAACCCCGCCCACTTCTGGAAGATACTCTCCGCCCACCCCTACAAGAGAGCCCGCCCACCTCTGGAAGATAGTCCCCGCCCACTCCTAGAAGTAAGCCCCGCCCACCTCTAGAAGAGAGCCCCGCCCACCCCTAGAAGCTAGCCCTGCCCACCTCTGGAAGATAGTCCCCGCCCACCCCTAGAAGAGAGCCCACCCACCTCTTGAAGAGCGGCCCTGTCTTCCAGATGTTGGTATTGCCCACGCAGCCCCGGGGCGGGTCGGTGATGTTCTCCTTCTCCAGTAGTTCGTGCACTGCCTGGGCCACCACTCCCACGGCGTCGCTGATGTGCGCTGACTCGTTCTTGCCATTGATGAGCTGCAGTCCGATGATGCCTGGGGCGAGTGTGGTGCGCTTAGAGCCCGTGGGGAACCCCTGCCCACCGGGACCCGGAGAGGCCCAGCACTCACCGTCCGGGGCGTAGCGCAGAGCGTTCCCTGAGATCTCGCGCTCCCCCACCAGCCACACGTACCCGGAGCCGGTCATGTTCAGCATCGCGGCTGCGCGGTACACGGTGGCAGCGTCGTCCTCGCTGTGGGGCAGAGGGCATGACGAGCCAGAACTCCAGCCCCTCCCCACCGGACCTACGGGTTCTTCTCTGGAGTCTGGGTCTGTCCCCGCCTCCCCCTCAGCCCTGCCCTCGCCTGGAAAGAGCCCTGGGGACACTGCCGAGGTGACAGGCCCAGCCCTTCCTGGGTCCAGTGATGGTGCAGAGGTACCAGCCTGCATCGCCAGCCCACACCTGGGCCAGGCGACTGCCCCCCCCCCGCCCCCGCCCCGCAACAGAGGTGAGGGGGGTGGTGGTGGAGGGTAGGGATGGGGTAATGGGGCCCAGACCCCCAGAGCTTCCAGCCTCTCTTGCTGGCCCTCTGCCTTGGTGAGCAGGGTCAGGGTGCCCCAGATGGTAAGGGATCATTGTTGATTGCTCGCTTGCTCACCAGGTGCCAGGCACTGCTCTGAGCGCTTTACACGGACTCTTGTATTTAATTATCACGGTATCCCTATGCAGCGGACATCAGTACTATCCCTGTGGCAGGAGGGGAAACCAAGGCACCCAAAGCACACAAGTAATGGTAATTGGAAGAGTTGGGTCTGTGCGTGGACAGTCGCCCCAGAGCCCATGCCCCTTCGACCTCCTGGACAAGCCCTACACGCTCTGGTTCTCCACATCCACGCATGCAAGTTGAGGGCGGGGGATGCTCCGGGTTGGTCAGATGGTGGTAGGACCCAGTGCCTGGGAACTGCCCTCCGCGTTGCAGCGAAAGCTGCTCGAGAGAGATGCGTGCCGAGAGCCGCTGCCCAGCAGCTGTGCATGTCCTGCCGCCCAGGGCTGGGGCGGTGGCAGGACGCAGTGCAGGGCCTTGCCTTGGAGGCACATGTGATCCTGAGCTCTTGGGGTGTCTGAACAGGTGAGCCCCTGTGCACCTGGTCCCCGAGGGCTCCCCTTGTCAGGACAAGGATCTGGGCCTGGTGGGGCTGTGGGGGCCCCTGGGGGTCCTCCCCCTGCTCTGACCTTCCCTTCTCTACTAGCCGGGACCTGGCCGCAGATGGCCCGAGACCACAGCTGGCATTTGGCTAATGCGGGGTCCAGAGGGGATGGACGGACCGTCTGAGTGTTGGGTTATTTTCACAATGACTGACTCTGGAAACTGAGGTGGCTCTAGACTCCCTAAGGGGCCTGCCCCCAGTTTTCTCAAGGGTTAGCCAGAGAGGACACGCAGACCTTCAGTGTTTGCTCTACATGACATGCTCCTGCCCGATGTAAGCCATGCACAGAGAGGTGCCCCGGGCAGCACCTCACCCGGGACCAAAGCAGAGCCTCCAGCCAGGACTGCCCAGTAGGGGCACAGGCTGCCCAGTGAAGCTGGCAGAGAAGCCCGTCTGCGTGACACAACTCAGTTCCGGGACGTCTGGCTGAGTGGACCGCGTGCACCCCCACACTTGTGTCTGTGTGAATGGTTATGACCGGTAGAAAGGTGGAGGCAAAATCCTGATCAACCCATCAGACTGTTTCAGGGAAGTAATTGGTCCCAGAAAGGACAGTCTTGGAAGGTAAGAAGGAAGTTGGAGACACGACCTCTCTACGCTCCATAGAAAGTTGCTCAGAAATTAAGACTGGCTTCATGAGGCCTGTCCACAACATGCTCTCAAGGGCCCTCAGGCAGGAGGAACCAGTGTGTCAGGTGTAAGTACCGGGGTCAGGAAGACCTGTGTGTGCCGCCCCCTTGCCTCCCTGGCTCCTGGGAACCGGGGCGCGCGGGGCGGAGGGGGCCCCATCGTGCAACGCGGGTGTCTGTGTTCCCGGGCGCCCAGGTGTGAGGGGAGGGGCACCTTCCGCGCTTTCCAGTCGGGCAGGAGCCTTGCGTGGGTCCGAGGGCGGTGTTGCTGGTTGTATGGTCAATAGCAGCGCTCTGCCTTTGTTGGCAGCGTATGTTCACGTGGGGGAAGTGTGTGCGTGTGGCATGTGGCGTGCGTACGGTGTGTCTGTGTGCACGTGCATGTAGGCGTGCCTATGTCTGTACGAAAGTGTGCGGTATATGTTGTGTCGTGCCTCTGTGTGTGTGAGTGTGTGTGTGAGTGTCTGTGTACGTATAGGTCGGGTACACTTGTGCATGTGTGTGCACTGCGTGTGGCGTGTCTATGGTGTGTACCCATGTATATGGGTGTGTGTGCACACGCACGTGTATGTGGTGTGTGTCTATAAGGTGCGTGTGTAACGTGTGTTCGTGTGTATACACACTTGGCATGTGTTGTGCATGGTGTGTGCGTGTGTGTGCGTGGTGTGCATATGCTGTGTGCCTGTGGGCAGGTGCACAAGGTTTATTTGGGGGTGTGTGCGTGTGTGTGCGTGTTCCTAGAGTTGCTCTGTCCTGGCTGAAGGGGCCTTCTGGTTGTTAGCTAACTGTCCATTTGCCCATCTGTCTGTCTACTGGTCCACCCAACCACCCATCCTTTGATCCCACCACACCCACTGAACCTCTCTCAAGCCCCATGATGAATGAGGGGGAGTATAAACAAATTGGGAAATCACACGGAAGGATCTGGTGGGGCTTTTCCCGGAGGGCTTGTTCTGGGCAGGGCTTGCCCTGGGAGGGACGGGGCAGCCCCTGGCCTTGCCTGGGCCTGTTCTTAAACCTTCCTCCTGGAGCCCTCCCCACAGTGCCCAGGGTCAGTGGTTGGCATGAGCCCAGGTTAGCCGCTGTAAAACAGGGGCAGAAGGGGATGAGCTCCTGGCTCTGGTAAGCGAGGGGCTCCCTGCCTTCCAGTCCAAGGAGCCTTGGTTGGCCCCACCCTCCCCAGCACCGGGAGGTGGGGCATTGGGGTCTGTGTCAGGGATTTGTTGACTGAATGTCCAAACGGACACCTGCCCTGCAACTCAGAGTATTGCTTCCTCTTTGTGGTCTGCCGGACAGCAGCATCTGGGGAACGCTCCTCTGGGCAGGGTGACCCCTGTTGTCTTTCTCCACTCCGTTGGAGCCCAGTGGCGCTTCTAGGAACGGGCAGACTGGGGTGTGTCCATGTAGGCCCTCCTGGCTATTCCATGGAGCGGGGCTCTTCCTTTTCCTAGTCCAGGGGCCTGGACTTTCCCTTCCCAGGGGAACTTAGGCATTTACAGACAGGGAGACTTTTGCTGGGTCTCATTTCCAAGGTCAAGGTGGGGGTCAGGCACTGGCTGGCCATAGCTTGGTTTCCACAGGTCCCTAACTGGTTCCCTTCTCCTGCTGCCCACCCCATCTGCTCCAATCCTGCCATCCTAGGACTCTGGCTCTCTCCTTGCTGTGGCCTTCTCCCCTGGGCTCACCTGCACACCCACATGTCCCTTCCCTGGGCTTTTCCCCTGAGCCCGGCTCCCAGAGTCCTGGGTCACATCTCTGCCCTTGGGCCATGTTTGCCTTCCTGAGGGCAGGGACTTCTCCATCTCCCATCTGAGAGCAAGCAGCCACAGGTGACTAGAAGGAGGAAGGATGGACAGGTAGAGGGTGTTGCATCGGCCAGGTCTCCAGGTATACGTGGCGGGGGTGGGGGGGCTCTCCTCGACATGGCATTTTGGAAGCTGAAACTCAGCATCAGCCCCGCAGTGCCCCTGGTCCAGGGGCAGGCCCGGGCGAAGTAGGGGGAGGGGCCCAGCCCAGCCTCACCTGGCAGAGAGGATGATGACCCGGGCTTCCAGCTCCCGCGCCTCCATCAGCAGGGCCGTCACATTCTTGGTCCCCGGGTCGAACTGCAGCACCTTCTCAGCCTGCGGTGTGAGCGGGAGTGTTAGCAGATGGCTGGGGCAGGGCCATAGCGCCTCAGGGGCGAGAGTCGGGCTGCAGCTGCTAGGAGCCCAGAGGCAGCTTAGCTAGGGCCTCCGCGGCCTGCACCTGCCACCTGCACTGTGCACCTGCTTGCCTGGCTCCTGCCTGGCCTGGCCTGGCCTCGCCTGCTGTCCTTTCTTCAGCCTGCTCGCTCTCCTGCGCTCGCTCCATCTCTCTCCTGTCCTCACTTTTGCACTGAGCATGCAAGCTGAAGTGGGCCGAGACTCAGAAGGATGCGTGCAGCGGACAGGAAACAGAAAAGAGTTTTGGAATGCAACTGGGTGCAGAGATAGGGCCGACTTTTCCAAAACCACGGGAGATCCTCTCAGGCCTGACCCTGCAGGCCCCTGCAGGAGCGGCTGGACCGACAGGGGCAGGCGGGCAGGTGGGCGGGTGGGCTCCCTCCTGGGTTCCGCGAGGAAACCCTGGGGGTCCCAGAGATTCGCATGCACTTCCCGGAGAGCAGCTCCTCCTGCGGCCGGCCGTGCCTGCTTCTCGGTGCAGGCCAAGGCTGAGGCCGCGGTGGGCGGGCCGCGGACACCCGCGAGGCCCGCTCCTGCCCTCTCCTGCCTGCCGCTGCCTGCCTCACGACCTCACTCTCCTCCAGCCTCAGGCCTGAGGCGCAGCACAGCCGGGCGGACAGCGGCCCTAGTGGCCGAGGCGCCGGAGGCCAGGGCTCCCTAGTCGGTGGGTGGCGTGCACGTCCATGCATATATACCTTGGGTCCGCGCTTGTTGTCATAGGACAGTTGGTCGAGGTTTTCATAGTTCCTTTTTTTACTCTGATGAATAATGTGCACAGAGAAAATATGCAGACACAGAAGAAGATTATAAACGGTTGAAAATGACGGCGCTGAAGCAACCACACCACCTCCTCGGCACGTCTGCAGACGGGCACGTACCTGGAGCTCGCAAACACCGCGGCCCGAGCGGGCTGGGGGCCGGGGCAGTGCTGGGGGCGAGGGGGCACAGGGGCCACCGGGGCTCCCGGCCACGGAGCTGTGCTCTTGGAAAAGGTCACACTTGGGAGAAAGGGCGGCCCTGTCTGTGTCCCTTTGGGGTCCCACCTGCCTCCCCCACCCCTGCCATGCACCTGCTGCGTGGTCCCAGCAGTGCCCACCCCACCCCAGGCAGTCCTGAATGGGGGTGAGCAGCCCCTCCCTCATGCCCTGTCCCCTCTGTCCCTCCCCTCCTGGCATCCTCCCCTCTATCTCCCTTAGAGGCCCAGGTGCCTGTTCTCACTGGTGGGTGTGTGCAGAGCCGTCGGCCCACGTGTGCACTGGAGAGCGAGTGTGACAGGACTGTGTGTGTGCGTGTGTGCGCACAGGGGTGGTGTGCATCTGCGTGCATCTGTGTGAAAGTGTCGGCCTACACAAGATTTTGGTGGGGAAATGAGGGTCGGTGCCATCTGCGCACTCGTGTGTGTGTGAGCAGGCGTGCGGGCACGTGAGCGGGTGCGTGTGTGAGTTGGTGGGGTGAGTGTGTCTGGGGGCTACAGGCCTGTGTGCGTGTCCAGGCACGGTCTCAGGCTGTGGTGGGAGATGTGAAGTGTGAGCGGATTGTCTTGGGAATGACCACATGCCCCTGTGAGCATGGACGCACGTGGGTGGGTGTGCAGGGACACGGCCGGTAAGCATGTAAGTGAGTGTGTGCAGCCACCGGTGGGCCTGCCAGGAGGTGACCAGCCTGCCAGGCACTGGAGGATGCTGTCTTGGGAGGAGTGGGGCCCACGGCGCTGGTGGTCAGCCCTCCCTCTCAGACTCAGCCAATCTCCCACAGCAGGCCCCCCCCCGCCAGGAACCTCTGAGTCTGCCCTCTGGCTTCACCCACCCCAGCCGGTGCCCTCTACTCCCTGCAGGGGCCTGTGAGGGGCCTGGGGTTGGCACTAAGTTGGTTGAAGCCAGCTCTGACTTCACAGACAGAACATGCTTCCCGCCACCCCCTTGGTCTGGCCTCCCTGGGCCCGCCCCAGCCTAGGCCTCCCCCCCGCTGCGGGCTCGGCCTCCATCCTAACTGAGGGGCCATGGCACAGGGCTTGAGCGCTCAGGGCTCTGGGCTGGGTGAAGGCGGGACCCTGGACTTCCTCAAGCTGGCAGTGGAGGTGGGCAAGGAAGGGGGTGGGGGTCACACGGACCCCCAGAAATGGCCACTCTGCCCTCTCTGCGGCCCCACAGAGTGGGGGCCAGGCTGGGGCTGCTGGTCAGTGTATCTAGAGCCAGGAGGGTAACTGGTCTCTTGGAGGAACCCAGAGCCCAGCCCCATGGTGGGAGGGAGGTGAGGAGGGGACAGCCTCGGGGCTCGGTGGGGGGAGCGGGAGGCCCTAAGGGGGCAGAGCCCAGGCAGAGCAGAAGGGGTGGCAGCTGTCTGTGGATGAGCTTCGGTGAGGACAATGGGCAGCTGAGAGGGGGAGGGCGGCAGGGGAGGTGAGGTCGTGGAATGCAGGGAGGGAGGGTACC